AACGATTTAATTCTTTCATAAATTAAAATGAGAAAACTTAAAAAAAATAACTATTCAATCCAACCCAAAAATGAACGAATGGTTTGATAAACATTGGAATGTGACAAAATTTGATACAATATGAATTTACGTGAGAATACATTTGTGAACTATTCAATTCGATCCAAAAATGCAGGCATAGTTTTACAAACTATTTAATTCGATGTGACAGTTAACGTGAGAATACTTCTTCAAACGGTTTAATTACAGCAAAAAATGAATGCAAGAATGGTTTCATAAACATTGGAATGTGACAATTTACGAGTTTTACGAACATTTGAATGACAATTTATGTTGGTTTTACCAGTGATCTGACAATTTAACTTATAAACTATTTGATTCAATCAGAAAAAAAACTACTTAAGAATAGTTTTATAAAAAATGAATGTGATTTATCTATTATTACAATTTGAATGTGACATTTTATCTTAAAATGCTTTTACAACTGATTGATTAAATGTGGCAATTTACCGTTGAATGCTTTTATTAACTATTAAATTGGAAAAATTAACCTAAGAATAGATTTATAAACAGTGAAGGTGACCATTTAAGTGCGAATATTCGGTTTAATCTGAAATTTTACACAAGAATAGTTTTATGAACATTGAAGTCAATCGGAAACTTATGTAGGAAATGTTTTACGAAGTTTTGCACATTTCGGTGTGAATTTACATGAGAATGCTTTTACCAACTAATGTAAGCAGCGTTTTAAGGATGTTTCCATTCAGTGCTAATACATGAGATTGTACTGTTCAATCTGACAATTTGTGAAAATTTGTTTTAATGAATTATTAAATTCAATACGCCAGTTACATAAAATAATGGTTTTATTAACAATTCAACGTGACCGTTTACAAAAGAAGGGTTTTACCAATCTTTCAATTCGGTATGAAATTGACATGAATTGAGTTCATTCTCAAAAGAGCTTGTCTTGTATTTAACTTCAAACATTTATTTGTTTGACAGTTTTCTGCATGGAAACTCACTGTGCTACGGAAGACGCTAGCCTCGGAAATCTTCTTCCAGTCTGCATTATGGCCCTTGATTCGGTGCACCATCAGTCCAATGCAAACCAAGCAGAGAACGATAACCACAGCCAAAGAGGCCCCTACAGCCGCCATATCGCCCGAACTGAACTCACCTGTTTTCACCTGCTGTCCCCCTGGAGCACACAAGAGGAGAGAAAAACATGTTTTTGGGATACACTTAAGGTACACATAAAGTGGGTTAACCAGAATGATACACACAAACTGCTGGAATTTCACAAATGCAATCATTTTGAATTACATGCTTAATGTGTTTTCCCAAACATTAGTGCACACCCTTATAGAGTGCTGCAGGGATGACATATTTTTGCAGGCCAAAACCCAGAACAAGTTAGCATTTTAGCACTTCTGGTTCCATCATCCCAAAGACAATGGGTTTTTTAAATGTATTTTTGATTAAATGCCTGAAATAAGGTCTGTGGTTAACAAAAGCTCAAGATATTTTCATGTTTCATTCTACAACAAACAGTACTTGAGTTATACTTCTTTGTGGTTTTAAGAAGCTTTTACTTGGCTTTACAAAGGCAAACAAGTGGCTAAATGGGATTACAGAGGTTGTCAGGGACGTTAAACGTCATCATCTACTCACTACTTTATAATAATGTGTTTATGATCGCACTCTTGCAAACTATTCTAACTCAAACTTTCAGGGAATATGGTTTTTAAATTAAAGGCTGTCGAAGATTAATGGTGGTGATCCTGAAGTCATGCGACCGTAGTGTAGTTCGTTTATAGCCTACGTGAGCTTTTTACTTCTGCCGATTGTGTTTAGGCTTCAAAATTGATAAAAGTTGTGTTGATTGGTGAAGATTATCACGATGAACAAAACATGTAGGAATCGTAAACTTTTGTTGGTCACAGATCTTATTTCCTGCAATAATCCAAAGTCTGAAAGTTAAATCCTGTTGGGTTTTTTGTTGAGGAAACCAGAGTCAACTAACGTCAACACTGCAGCTCTCTATAGCCATTATCCAAAAGTGTCCAATAGCATAAAGCATGCATCCTTGAGTAAATTCCATGTGATTAGCACAGTGCTAGATTCATGAATATTTTATAGTGTGCTGTGATGGTATGCCATTTCAAATAAACGGCATGCTACACAGCACACCAGATGATTTAGCAAGTCTAGTTAGCTTAGCATAAGTGTACCTGTGCTGGGGCGCGTAGTTGTGTGGTGCGATGTCGTGG